CACACACATATGTACACACACACCTGTATACACACATATCTGTACACACACACACACACACACACACACACACACACACACACACCACACCCAAAACAACCAACAAGCACATACCAGAAAAAGCTGGGCCTCTAGTTGCGTCAGATGCTCATGCACCTGTCTTCCTCCCTCCGGCCTTCAATGTTTCATGGTCCAGCTCCCCACTGCCCGACTCTGCATCTCTGCCTGAGCTTGCCCTGAAGCACTGGAAAGGTCACTTGGCTAGCAGATAGCTGAAGTATTAATGTCCGCTGAGCCCCCTTGCCTCCTTCCTCTGCAGTCTGTACCACTTCTCGGCATCTCTATGAGCTTCTGCTCCAAACTCAGCTGCTCTCAAAGACAGCCTTTGTTGGTTCCCTTCTCCGTTTCCCCTTTGCCGCTGCTCCCACCCCTGACTCACCCACTAACTCCAAATAAATCACCGCCACTCCAATATTTATCTCCAGATCAGCTTCTGGGGAAGAATAAACTAAGACATAAATTAATCATGTTAATTAATTTTCAGCCTCCTTGGGCCAAAAGGTAATTAAATGTGTGTTTTCCTTCCCTTTCTGAAGGCCTTTGGAAGCAGTGCTGAGCGTTCCCACTTGGCTTTGCTGCCAAGTAGCAGACATGAGACGCTCAGGGCAGGCAAATGTCAACCCCCGAGGGTACAGGCACGGCCGACAGAGCTATTTATTGCAGGAATTCTGGCTGTCAGTTCGGATCTCTGTTGACAATCAGAGGAAATCACTCGTTCTGCAAATATTTTCTGAGTTCTGTGTCTCTGCAAGAGGCCCAGGCAGTACTGGCCAAACGAAAACAAGTGCTGTGTGTCTTCTGTGAGATGTGGCTTTCAGATCACTCTATTAAAAACACTAATGGATCTGTTCAGAATTAATGTTTGAATTACTGTTGAGTTGATGATGATTAGCAGATGACGGGGTGAATGGTAATTGCTAGTTTTGTCGGGGGTTTTAATTTTCACACTAGGCAGGATTTATTTCCGATAACAATAATGACCGAGACCATTTTTTAAAGATACAGTCACTCAGTGTGGCGTGCACTCCAGCAGTGCTCGGAGGGAAAGTCAGGCTGCAAACTGCTGGGCTTCCTGGGAATAGCTTTGGAAACAGAGGTAGGAAAGATAGCCAGCCAGGTGTGGTGGTGCACACCTGTAATCTTTTTTTTTTTTTTTAAATCTCCCATAATCTCACTTCTCAGTGGTAACTAACTTTATCTTTTCTTCTTTTATTCTTCGATCTTACATAACATCCTGATGGCAGTTTCCCCTTCCTTCACTCCTCCCAGTCTTCTTCTCACCTCCCCTCTCCTCCAGATCCACTCCTCCCTTAAAAAAAAAAGAGCAGGCCCCCCAGGGATTTCAAATAAACAGGCATAACAAGTTACAATAAAGACTAGGCACCAACTCTCATCTTAAGGTTGTATGAGGCAACCCAGTAGGAGGAAAAGGGTCCCAAGCTCAGGCAAAAGAGTCAGAGACAGCCCTAACTCCCACTGTTAGGGGTCCCACAAGAACACCCAGCTACATAACTGTCTTTGTTAGGGCTTCTGTTGCTGTGAAAAGACACCATGATCACAGCAACTCTTATAACGGAAAACATTTAATTGTGTGGCTTACAGTTTCAGAGGTCTAGTCCATTATCACCATGGCAGGACATGGAGGCATGCAGGTAGACATGGTGCTGGAGAAGGAGCTGAGAGTGAAGAAGGAGCTACAGCTTGATCCCACAGGCAGCAGGAAGTGGTCTGAGATACTGGATGTGGCTTGAGCATATATGAGACCTCAAAGCCCACCCCCACAGTGACACACTTCCTCCAACAAAGCCACACCCACTGCAACAAACCACACCTCCCAATAGTGCCACTTCCTAGTGAACAATTACATTCAAACCACCACAACAACCATAAAGTATATGCAGAGGAGCTCAGATCCATACAGGGTCCATGATTGTCGCTTGAGGCTCTGTAGGTCCCTAGGAGCCCTGCTTAGTTGATTCTGTGGATAGTGTTCTCATAGCACAGCTGTAATCTTAGCACATGGGAAGCTGAAGCAGGAGAATGGGGAGATCAGGTACAGCCTGGGCTACACAGGGAGACCCTAACTCAAATAAGCAAATGGACCAGGTGGGTGTGGTGGTGCTCACCTGTCAGCCTGGCTCTTAGGAGGCAGAAGCAGAAGTATCAAGATTTCAAGGTTGGGACTGGAGAGATGGCTCAGCGGCTAAGAGTACTTACTGTTCTTGTAAAAGACCATGTGGGTTCCCAGCACCCACATGGTAGCTCATAACTGCCTGTCATTCCAGCATCAGGGCATCTGATGCCCTCTTCTGACGTTCCCTGGCACTGCATGCATGTGGCACACATACATACACTCAGGCACACACACAAACACATAAAATAAATAATTTAAAAGAGTTCAGGGTCATCGTTGCCTACATATGGAGTTTGAGGTCAGCTTATGATATATGAGACTGTTTCAAAAATTTAGAAGAAGAAGAAGAGGAGGAGGAGGAAGAGAAGGAGGAGGAGGAAGAGGAAGAGGAAGAAGAAGGAGAGGAAGAAAGATGTTGATGTTATAGAAGGAAGCTCTTTAGACTCAGAGCCAGCAGAGTTGTGCCTGGTGCTACCAATCAGCCGAGTGACCTTGGGGATTCACTTGCACTTTCTGGGTCTCAGTTTTCTCATCTCTTAAATACAACTCAGTACTTGAGGGAATGGTTTTATATGGTCCCCAGGCCCCTTCAATATTCATACATCTCTTTAAAAAGAGGCAGATCTGCTCTCTGATTTGACTTCATTTTACTCGATGTAGTAATATCTCCCAACAGAAAGGGTGGGGGATGGAGGAATAGGAGTGGAGAAATAGGGGTGAGGTAAAAATGAACATTTGAGGGATGCAGAATTGGGGAAGATCCTGCTGAAATGGTCCTGTTGGTCATTAGGGGCTTGAGGGATGGAGAGTCAGGGAGAAGCAAGTGGCGAAGGGTCCTCCTTTTGTCTTTGGCAGTTCTTGGGACTGTCGTGGTCCTCAAGGCTCAGGAAGGTCCTCACAACTGTCCAGAGAACTTTAAAAATGACTTACTTTAGTATTTAAGTGTGTCCACGAATGTGTGCATGTATGCATGCACATGTGTGTACCTGTAGATGCAAGTGCATCAGAGGCCAGAAGAGGATGCTGTGTCTCCTGGAGCAGGAGTTACAGGTGATTGTGAGCTATCTGCTATGGGTGCTAGGAACTAAACTCAGCTCCTCAGCAAGAGCAGTATGTGCTCTTAACCATGGCTCCATCTCTTCAGCCCCTGAGAACTTTTATTAATAATAATAAAAAATCTCAAAGTCTTTCTGCTCCTTCTGATTTAATTGTTCTAGAGTGCACCATGGACGCTATTTCTGAGACAATCCTACTGTGCATTTGGCATGGGAAGTTACCAGCTGAGCACCAGTGGCGCCTGGCTTGTCTTTCCCAGTTCCTTTATATGCTTCTCCCTCTCCTACTCATTTCCAGGTCCCCAGGTGAGTGGCAGGGGCATACCAGAAGGACAAACCTTCTGCAGTCTATTTTCTAGTAATTCTTTTGTTATTTGTGAGGTTTCATACAACTTGGCTTCTTTTCCTCATTAACATGATTCAGGCTACTTAAGAAATTAACTTGGAAATACTCAAAAGAAAAAAATAACATCTCAAAGTGTCAGATAAGTCAGCTATTCAAAGGTAACCTGCTGCTAAGGTTGGGCTAAGTTTTGTGGCTACCCCTTAAGAACCGTGCTGTACTGTATATAGCAGGAGTCGGCAACTTAACAGGTGGAAAGCCAAGTCTAGTCCACTTTCTGTTTCTATAATTTGTTTTTTGAGATGGGTCTTAGAACTAGCTATATGGATGAGGCTGGTCTTTTTTTTTTTTTTCCTGGAGCTGAGGACCGAACCCAGGGCCTTGTGCTTGCTAGGCAAGCACTCTACCACTGAGCTAAATCCCCAATCCTGAGGCTGGTCTTGAACTCACAGATATTCACTTACCTCTGCCTCTCAAGTGCTTGGATCAAAAGCATGCCCAGCTATAAATAAAGTTTTATTGGAACACAGGAATGCTTGCTGCTATCTATTGTCTCTGGTTGCTAATACACCACAGGGGCAAAGATGAGAGGCTGCAACAGGAATCATCTGGCTTCCCAAGTCTAAAGCACTTACTATTTAACAAAAAACCTCCTCGTCAGTCCCTAGTACATACCATTCTGTAATTGCTTTTCTTCCATTTTACTTTCTACAGGCTTTCCCTGTGTCATTATAATTACTTCATAAGCATCCTTTCTAATAGCTGGTTTCATTGCACATAACATAGTCAGGTGATGGTGTAGTTTTTCTCTTACAGTAAGACATTTATATATTTTTACCACCTTTTTATTTAACCCTTAAAATGCTTCAGGGAGTAGGTTTAGATATAAACTCTCTCTGTGTGTCTCTCTCTGTCTCTCTCTCTCCTCTCTCTTTCCATCTCCCCTACTTCTCCTTTTTCCTCTCTCCGCACTCTTTCACTGAGCTACATCCTTACTCCTTGTATTCCTAATGCTTTCTTTAAGGTGCTGTCCAGATTGTTCAGCTAGTGGGTAGCAGGCAGCAGGTAGGTAGCAGGCAGCAGGTAGCAGATAGGAGCATATGAACACTATTCATACAGAAGATAAAACCCTTTACTCAAAGGCTGGATAGCAGCTTATACCTTATATCTTTGATGATGCAGTGGAGAATCCTTTACACATTTGCCAGAATTGAACATTGTCATTTTAAACATTTTCTTATTTCAGAGAGGCAAACAAGCATTATTACTTTATTTTGCATTTCTCCTCTTTCTACGGGGACCAAGCTTGTCGCTAAAAGGCTGCTTTTCTTCTACACACTGGCTGCTTCCATCTTTCTTGGCCTCCTTCTTTCCAGGACCCAGGGGAAGATGCTGGCCTGTCTCTTACCTTAGCTTGGAGCAAGGCTCCTGCTTCCGCTCGATTCTTTTCCACATCTCTCTCCCACTGAATTCGGATTGTCTCAAGGACATCGTCCAGACCAGTGCCCATGGGAACATCTGTTTGCTCCAGTTCAGACCCTGACAGCTGTTTGTACAGAACCTTCACATCCTGAAAACAACATTGGACACCTTAGGTAAGCTCCAGGGAGGAAAGAACAGATGTGAAAGTCTAGCCAGGAACAGCTGGCTCTGTGGGCGCTACTCTGCCTCCATCTATCTATCTATCTATCTATCTATCTATCTATCTATCTATCTATCATCAATCAATCAATGTGTTTGTTTATTTTGCACATCATGCATGGGCATCACAGAGACTGGCAAAGCCCCAGGTCTTCTAGGTGTAGGTATTGTTTTCTTTTCTGAAGGACGCATTTCTTAGATTTTCTCAAGCCCATTCCCATGCCCAAAGCAAAAAACTAAATAAACACATAGTCAAAAGTAAGTATATAGATATAGTATAGTAATATACAGAAGTTTGGCACAAAGTCAGGATATACTAAAGGAGATTAAAGCTAACTCTGGAGTCTAAGGGGTTACTGCTGGGGCATGGTCTTCAGGAACTGAACCAGGAACAGGAAGGAGTGGGCGTATAGTTTCTGTCCTCTTCAGGCTGGACACAGGAGGAACTTCCCAGTGGCAGCATGGTTCAGTGAGGTATGATGCTCAGCTTGAAGCACCCTGGACCATGAGTCAGACAGTGATGTGTGTGCGGTGGTTTAGTGCTTCCTGTAGATGGTGAGACCACATCCCTGCATCCCTCCAAGGTACGTTCTGGGCCTGTCACTTACAGATACAGCCTTCTTTTTTTTTTTTTTTTTTTTTTGGTTTTTCGAGACAGGGTTTCTCTGTGTAGCTTTGCGCCTTTCCTGGAACTCGCTTTGGAGACCAGGCTGGCCTCGAACTCACAGAGATCCACCTGCCTCTGCCTCCCGAGTGCTGGGATTAAAGGCGTGCGCCACCACCGCCCGGCTACAGCCTTCTTTTGTTAATGAGTGTGTGGGAACTAAAGTGTGGGTCTGTCTTTAGAATTATTCAGTTTATCCTGTTCATGGAGTGTTGAAAAAAAATCTGAAATAGAACACTTTAGGAGACCCTCCCCTCATTTCCAAGTAGTTTTAAGAGTCACTTCTGATTATGGATGTTTCTTCCACATATGTATTGCCCTGGTTCTTGAAGACACTGGAGTTTCAGACTTTTGCAGGGAGTAATCTGATCCATGGCAAAGACTATAAAGGCCTTTACTAGCATTTTCCTTGAGGGCCTGGGTGAGCAACACAGAGAAGTGACCCCAACACCTGTGTTCGGAGGTCACAACCGCACAGGTGAGTGCCTTGCTTTGGGAGGGAGAAGCCTAGCACCCCCGGCCCCACCTACCTCTTCATAGCTCCGGGACAGGAAGCCCAGTTCTTCTTTCAGGCTTTCTATTTGATGCTCCAGATCCGTCTTTGTCAAATTAGCTTCATCAATGACTCTGTACAGAGAGCTTACTTCCTCTTCTGCTGCTTTCCGGAACGGCTGCTCATTTTCATATCTGCAGACAAAGGGACTTCATCAGCTTAGCTGGGTAGCCCCCGAAGGAGAAACAAACCGGATTGTAGCTATTACCCAGAGGCCCACATGTGACAGGCAGCGAATGCTCATAGTGTTCCAGTGGCTTTGGGGCCACTGTTACTGTTATTGCTGCAGGAATATTAACATTAGCAGCCAGCTTCTGGGAACACAGCTTCGTGAGACCTTTGGAGCCGGGTACTCTCAGGAGTTCTTATCACAGAAAGGTAATACCACATCTCTGTCTCTATACTGAGCAGTCCTCCTCTTCATCCAAGGATCGTTTACCATTGTCGAAGACCTGCTAAGTATCAGACTGGGGATCCAGAAATGAACACTATACTGCAATTCTTGACAGTGGCTGCAAACTCAAATAGGTAGTGTAAAGGAGGAACCATGAGCCGGGCGGTGGTGGCGCACGCCTTTAATCCCAGCACTCGGGAGGCAGAGCCAGGCGGATCTCTGTGAGTTCGAGGCCAGCCTGGGCTACCAAGTGAGTCCCAGGAAAGGCGCAAAGCTACACAGAGAAACCCTGTCTCGAAAAACCAAAAAAAAAAAAAAAAAAAAAAAAAAAAAAAAAGGAGGAACCATGGCAAGGGGTGGGCACAGAGAGAGGTAGCGATGAATCCTATCAGAGTACATACTTCACTTAACCTATAGGGGGCGCTGCTGCCCAGCTCCGCCCATATCTATTGTGTAGCAAGGTGCTTTTGGCTTGTCCCTGTTATCTTTAGGGGAAGGGAGAAGCATGGATTTGTCTATCCAGAGATTTAAATGATAGATCAGTAGTAGAACACTTTCCTTGCTTGTGAGGGGCCTGAGTTGAATATCCACATCACAAACAAGCACAGCCAACCAAACAAACAAACAAATAAAACAACAAAAAGCACATGGCTATTAAAACAATGAATATGTGTGTGGGCATGCTTGTATCAAAACTGTCTATGTTGAGTTTCAACCCTCAGGCTTTCTTTCTAAACACTACCTAACATCTTTGTTGATTTCTGGTGGTGCCCTTTCCTCACACCATGGTGGTACCACTCAGCCAAATTTCCCAGTTGCCTCCATACATCCATAGGAGGGCAAAATCCACATTTCTATTCCAGGAAGCACCTTCAGGTTTTAGAGTTATAAGTCTTCACTTTAAGATGTGTGTGTGTGTGTGTGTGTGTGTGTGTGTGTGTGTGTGTGTGTGTGTGTGTGTGTATGTGGTGGTGGTGGTGGTGGTGGAGGATACTGGGGATTGAGCACGTCAAAGTAAGCACTGTCTTCTGAACTGCATCCCCAACCCCTGTAATAAATTTCAATATTCAGAATCCCTAGGGACACATTTGTGACAGGTGATTTTGTCGGAGCCTCTACTTGTATGTTCTGGGTGCTGAGGAACTCATTCCCTCTCAAGGCCAATGGTCCATTTGTGGAAAGCTCTAATACTTGCTTATTTCTTTGTATAAAAGTTTAAACCTCTAGTCTTATAAAAAGGTGAGTTTGACTCTGGAAATACTCAAAGTCACTCACTACTTTGGTAATCCTACAAAGTATGTAAGTTAAGGGTTCAAGGCTGTCCTGGTCAGCAGAGTGAAATACCATCTCAAAATAAGCCAAGCATGGTGAATCATGCCTATAGTCACGACACTTGCAAGTTGAAGGTAGAAAGATCAGTTGTTCAAGGTTGTCCTTGGCTATGCAATGAGTTCAGTCCAACCTTAGCTCCATGAGACCTCATCTTAAATAACAACAACAAAACAAACAAACAAAACAAAAACTGAAGGAACCAAGCCAAACCAAACCAAAAACAGGGCTGGCAAGATGGCTCAGTATGTAAAGATGCTTGCTGCCAAGCCTGAGTACCTGAGTTCAATCCCTGGACACTACATGGTAGAAGGAGAAAAACCAACGCTCACATGTTGTATTCTGACTTCCACATGTGTACCATGACAAATGTACACACACACACACACACACACACACACACACACACACACACACACACACATCACTAATAATAATTTTTCTTTAAAAAGACCCTTTTCTAAAGCAAGTAACACCGGGCACAGTCTTTGAGCCCCTAAGTCCTGATTTTTTGTGGCTCTGGGTTCTCTTAGAGTTCCTGTTGTCTCAGGCCACCTTTCTACTGTGGTGGAAGGGACTGGTGTATACTCTGGGGCAGCATTATCTGCAATGACCTGGAGTCTGGGTGGGGAGGGAGGGCCCCTTGCTGCAGAGCGTTACCTCTCTTTAAAGTCATCTGCGCCGGCTTGGGTCGTCTCCATCTGCAGCATAATCCGGGCATTTTCCAAGACAGCCTCTCCCACCTGGAACAAAGAGAAGAGGGTGCTTAGCAGTGGCTTGTGTGGGGCCCGGAGCTCTGGAGAATGAGCTGAAGCTTCACAAAAGCTTGTCTTTTCAGGATGAGTCTCCCTCTCTGAAGACAAGAAGGAGAAGGAGATAAGAAGGCATAAATCTGGGTGTCCTTCAGACATTTAGAGTGAGATTTAGAGTAAGATTTTTGGGATAAAATCGTGATTCAAAGATAGATGAGTTCATAGCCACTGCCACAGCCTGGAGCTCTCAACTCCTCCAGGAACGTGCTCTGGCTCCTGCATGGAAGTCTCACTGGCTGTGTGTGTGTGTGTGTGTGTGTGTGTGTGTGTGTGTACATGCATATTCATATATAATACATACAAATGTATATGGGTTCAAAGTTATTTTTAGGAATAGTTGTGAATAGGGCTAGAGAGATGTCTCAGCAGTTAAGAGCACTGGCTGCTCCTCCAGAGGACCAGAGTTTGATTTCTAGCACCCACGTGGTGGCTAAACAATGGTCTGTAACTCCAGACCCAGGGTATCTGACATCTTCTGGCCTCTGTGAGCACCAGACATGCATGTGGTACACAGACATATAAGCAGGCAAAGCACCTACACACACACACACACACACACACACACACACACACACACACACACACACACACACACACAAATTAGTAAAAATAAATGAAAAGAATACGTATTTTTTTTTTTTTTGAGACGGGATCTTGCTGTATAGGGCAGGCTAGCCCCAAACCCACAATCTCCATCCCACTAGTCCTGGGATTGCAGACATGTTTCACCACACCTAGCCAAGAATTTTCATTTTTAGCTGGCAATGGTTGTGTATTTATAGAGAACAATCTGAGGTTTTAATACACACTTTACATTGTGGAGTGATTATATCAAGCTAATTAGCATGCTCAGCCTCACTGATCATCAGGGGAATGCAAATTAAAACCCCAGCAAGATCTCACCTCCTACCAGGAAGGTATATGCTATCAAGAAGATGAATGATAAGTTCTGGCAAGGATGGGGAGCGGGTGCACATCACTGTGGCAAGGTGAATTAATGCAGCCGTTATGGAAAGCAATGTGGAGGTTTCTCAAAGAACAAACAAAACCATAAACACAATAACGAACCCCAGGAGCTAAAAATAGAAGCAACCCCCCTATTATTAGCTCACTATACACTACTGAGCATATAGGCCTCATTTATACACCCCTGGACCTAGAGTTTCTAGATCTTTAGTGCATAGGAGGTGAAAGGCAGGAATAAGGTTAGAAGATGAGAAATACACGGGCAAGGAGATGGTCTACTTCATCCACTTGCCAGTGTGCTCAAGGGCCAGGCTCAAGAAGAGTTCAGTCTTTGCTAGTGGGAGATTCAGTGAAATGAAACTAAATCTGATGGATGATCAGACTGGGCCAAGGAGCATAACCATTGCTCCCCCCACAAATGGAACTTCGTGAATCGGAGAGGTGGGCTGGCAGTTAAGAGTGTCTGTGGCTCTTCCAGAGGATCTGAGTTCTGTTTCCAAAAATCCAGTGTCTCACAACTGCCTGTAACTCCAGCGCCAGGGTATCTGATGCCCTCTTCTGGCCTCTTTGGGCACCTGAACCCACGTGGCACATGCACTCACATCCACATCAGAATAAATCTTTTAAAAAAGACTTTCTCTCCTTAACCCACCTTCTCTTCTTCCACTGGTTTAAGAAGCCCTACCCACTCCCCCAGGCTGGGGCTTATACGCTTTTTTTCCTTCAGTGCTGAAGCTTGAACCCAGGGCCTTAGCATGCTAGGCAAGTGCTCTACCACTACGTATCTCCAGCTCACTTTGTACATTTTATTTCGAGATAGGGTTCCCTAAGTTGTACGGGCTGTCTTTGAATTCGTTCTATAGCCCAGGAAGGCCTTGACATTGCAGTTCTCCTGCCTCGGAACTCTGAGTAGCCAGGATTACAGGGCTCTGTCATTTTTACTTTTGTGAGACAGGGTCCCCAAAAGTACTCAGTCCCAATCAGCCTGGAACTCACTACGAGACCAGGCTGGCATTGAACTTTCTGCCTCTGCCTGAGTGCTGGCGTTACAGGCAGGCACCACCATGTCCAGACTGGCTGACATGCTTCAAAACTTGTTGAATGAATGTATGAATAAATGAATGGTGTGACCACGGGTGACAGTTCTCAGTCATTCCCTGGATCTGGTTTGAAGGTTATTTCCAAGAAGCCATTAAGAAGGGAGTTTCCAAATGTTCCTGGGATTGTTTTTTCCCCTTCATGCTGGTTCTTGGGTTCAAGTTTGTATCATCAGGCTTGGGTGGCAAGCATTTTTATGCACCGAGCCGTCTCACTGGCTCTGTCCTTCTGTCTTCAGATTAGGTCTCACGATGTCGTCTAGGCTTGTCTTGAACTGACTGTACAGCTCAAACAGGCCTTGAACTTTTAATTTGCCTTATTCAGTGTTTCTAATGTTTGAATATGGAGCCTAGAGAATTGACAGTCAAAATTCTTAAAATAGGTTTCTTGAAATTTTTGTATAATTAAGTTTATTTAAAAAAGAAAAGGAAAAAAGTCAAAGAAACAAGCCAAGTACGTGTGGGTGTTTGTGTGAGTGTGTAAGTATGTGCATGCGTTTGTGTGTGTGTGTGTGTGTATTTTTGTGGCTGCATGTGTGTGTATATTTGTGTGTGTGCATGCATGCATGCATGTAGTGGGTAGCCATTCCAGCTTTGACCTGGAAGCTCCAACCCCAATTGAGGCTTCGGTAATTGTCACGCCTACTAGGCGGGGCTGAGAGAGGCCGCTGAAGACCTGGGTTCCAGATGCGGGGGCTCTCTTGGTTCCTGGACCCTGGACGCCAGAGGTAGACCGAGCAGAGTTCTCCAGAGAACACCGCCGGACTGCGCTACACCTTTCCCAGACCCTGTAAACTATCCATTCACTTGTAAGTTACCCCACAAAATAAACCTCCCTTTTAATTACGTGGAGTGCCCTTAATAATTTCACCAATACACGCATGTGTAGAGGGCAGGATACAGTTCTTCAAAAGCAAAAGAAGGTGGAACCATGGCTGCTTCAAGTCTTCCCAGGCAGAACTGACCCTGGGATTTGGATAGACAAGCTTGTGATCTCCAAAGACTTTCTTTACTTTGCCCTGCTACAACACTATGGGGCACGTGGCTTTGTGACATTTCCCATCTATTACAGATTTCTAATATTAATTAATACAAAGATGCTCAAAGCCATGCCCAAAGACACCAGGTAGAAAGGCAGAGTTCTCAGAGGTCAGACAAGGCTGGTCACCTTGATTTTGCTCCTTGACGGCCTCTGAGTTTTCATTCTGGGCTGAGAACGGGAGTAATTTGGATGCTGCCTGCCAGGCCGATATGGTGGCTGCATCCAAATCTCTATCCTTGGAGGCTGTGTGGGCCCAGGGCTGCGGGAGTCTGGAGGCCTTCCTGCTTTTTGCTGTTGTTTAGTAACAATCAAGGGTTTATTCCACCCTCAAGTGGAGGCTAATTATAGGCTCCGGCTTGCCAAAGTACAGCCTGCTGGCCATGCTTCCCCACTCCCGAACCAGACAGAGATCCTAAAATAAACTAAGTCTCCACTCTCATCACGGAGGGCCCTGCAGTACCCATCACCACCTTTCCTAACCGGGCAGAAACTCCATCTCTGGGGTTGGTGGTTCCTCGGCATCCCCAGCTTGGGAAAAAAATGAAAGGCCAGTTATGTGGTTTGAGGAGGGCTGTGACCTTCACTGGGGTTTAGTACAGACTCAGATCTGGTACCATGGCCCAGAGGGGTCCTGAGCAAAGGCAAAGCATGAAGCCTGTAAGGGAAAACCTTCAGGAAACCTTCCTAGTTGAAGAAAGGAAGGGACGAGGGAAGAGAGGTTGTGTTTATTGACTGTCTAAGCAGGTGCTCCACAATGTGCCTGAGCCGGCTTGTCCTGACTGAGAGCGAATCATTAAATATTTTAGAAGTTCTGGGAGGTGGTTGTTAAACACACCATTATGAAAAGTTAAATTATGTGAACTTACAATTAAGTAATTTAAAAATAAAGGCAGCACATACTCAGAATAAAAAGGCAGTAGCCCCCCACCCCCCATCTTGTTCTGAATGTGATACCTGATTTTGAGGTTTTCTGCTTTGACTGTGTCTGGATGGTGGAAATGCTATATTGTGTGGTACCCTGAATCTCTTTCTAGCCCTGCATTTAGTGAGATGTTGATAGCTTGATATTGGTCAAGGTCAGAGTATTTACACCAAGGAAATTGGCAAACACTACGAACCACAGGATTTCTTTTCGGGGAGACAATTGTTCACACTGATGATGCCCCACCTTGCATCAATGCTGGATACTCACAACTTCATTAAATGCTGTGGCACCTTGTAAAACTCATTAATTCATTAAATGCTGTGGCACCCTTTTACAACTTTTAACACATTCAATTCACCAATGAGAATAACAGCATCCGAGAGCTGAAGTTGCCCCAAATCACACAGCTGGAAAGCAGCAGAGCCAGAATGCCACCCCAGGTCAGCATGACTCAAAGGGGTGTGTGTGTGTGTGTGTGTGTGTGTGTGTGTGTGTGTGTGTGTGTGTTCTAATCTAAAAGAGTCATCCGAATTTAAAGGTCCTTCTGGACTGCTTTTTTCCATTTTTCCTGCCATGCAGATAGCCAGGACTCCTGGTTCCTCTTTGGGTTGCATCATGAAGATAAAGAGATCTCTTTTCCACAGATTCTGAGATCGCTAGGCTAACCCCACTGACTTAATTGTCTTTCACGTCAATCCCTCCCACCCCCACCCCTAGCCTTCCTTCCAGAGCCCCATGAGTGGATAAAGTCTGGGGGAAGAGCTATGAATGCGTGTACCCAGGGAACTTTGCTGCTGAGCATTTTCTCCGGAGAAGAAAGAGCATTTCTATTTTAGGCTATGAGAGATGTACATTAATTATCTGGTCCTCACTGATGTATGGCTGAAGAGGATGCAAATTA